CATCCCTCCCACTTCCCCTATGCCTTTATACCTTTTTTCCTACTACCCAATATCAGTTATACATTTTGATCTTCATTTACACTTTTAGTTGATCACACCAGACAAACTATTTGGTATTTGCACATGTGATAAAATAGCCTTTGATATAAGATGTTTTTCAGAATGCCAGCTCTTTAAAATTTGCATTTTGAAAAATACTTTGCCTTCTAAACTATGTGATGGTTTCTTATGAATACTTAGAAAAAGAGAACTACTTTTTTTCACTTCAGTGTTACACCTTTCTGATTCAGAAATTAACTGGTCTCACAGATTTTTACTTAAAATTGAGTTGAGTACCATTAGCTGTTTAAAATTTTCCACATGGGAGATAAGACTTAATTATACAGAGAGATGTTTTTGTATCTTTAGTCTCTGATGATTCTTTTCTTGAAGCTTAGTAAAGATGCATTTGGGGAATCTTTCTTTTAATTTAGTATTTCTATCACTGGTGACTTGAGTGAGAGGTGTGTATGGAAATCATGGTGAAATGTACAAAGATAGAAAGGTACTTAGAAATGGAGTGGACTTATCCCCAAATATGGGATGACAACTTGAAGGAACTGGGCACTGTGTTAGCTGCTTTCCTCTCATTGCTGAGGTAAAATACCCAACTCCCAAATTTAGAGAGGAAGGGGCTTATTTGGCTTACAATTCATAGAGGTTTCAGTCCATAATCAGCTGGCTCTGAGGCTGGGATGGCAAACAAGCATCACAGAAGAGAAACAACATGGTGTGTACAAGGCAGCAAAGGTAACAAAAGGGAGAGTTTAACAGTGTCTTTCTGCCCCTTTTATCTTATTCAGACTACTGGGATTAGGGCTGTGCCAAACCAGTCACTCACATGTAGTGGTTTAGTAATCACATGCCCTTACCCTCAGCATCACACATTCCTGATCCAGCTACCTCTGAAAAAGAAAGTCCCACCTCATGCACATGAGGTTTTTCAGGGACATTAAACACAAACCATAACAGGCACCATATTAAATCCAATATCTGGGGTATTTAAAAAGGTAAGCTGGGCTGCCCCTTGATTCTGGCCCTGCTTACAAATCAGGTATTGTCTTGAAGGAGTTGTCATGGAGTGAAGGGAGCAGAGATCAACAAGACTCCTTTGGAAGACTGGGTATTTGGCCAGCCACCATCTGCCCCCACCAACATAAGTGAAGTTATTTGATCACAAGGCAGAGGCAAAATACCTCCAGCTGGCAATGCACACAGGAGCAAACCAAAACCAAGTAGAGTACTGCTTGCAGAGGGCAAAGGCACGCTCATCAGTCCATCCAGACCCACCTCCACAAGTAAAAGTTCCTCCATTTGGGAACAGAGAGGCAACAGCACACTCATCAAATTCTGACTGCCGTATAAATAGAACTGAGAAAATTCTACTTTTGTGGTGGTTTTATGTGTGTGGTTGAGACTTTTTTTCCCTATTTTTTTCTTTAAAGTGATGTATAAATGGGAAGTTTTTGTACATGTGAAAAGAAAAATACCTATTGATTGGTGCTGTACGTAGTATCTTCCATGGTCATGACAGTTTAATCCTCTACAAAAATTGTGTACAGAGGATTCACTCACAAGCTATCAGCATATTAATTAGTTCCAACATTCTCACAGCTTCCTTTGATCTCCAATTATACTCCCTTCCCTCTTGGTCCTTATTCCAGTCCTTACAAAGAGCATCTCAAACCCCTCTCCACCAGCCATCCACTTGAGATATAAAGTAATATCAACAAAGTCCTATATATTCTCTTTCACTTTCTGTTATCTTTTTTCTTTTCCTTGTTTCTGAACTGTTTTCTTCCTTTATCCTCCACATCCCAGCCTGATTGTCATGTCAGTACTATGTCACAGTTCTTGGGTAATAGGAAAAAAAGGGCAAAGCTGTTAATGCAAATTTTAAATTACATAATGGATGTATGTTTGGCTCTGTACATGCTCATAAAACTGATAGTCACTCCTTGGAATAAATGACTGGGATTTATCCTCTTACCTCAAGGAGACTGAAGATGTATATAAATATCAAAACTAACTAAATCCAAGATCACATGACAAGAAAATACACAGGAAATAAAGAGATCTCCACAGTAGCAACAATTTTTTATCCCTTAATGGCTCCTCAATAAAAGGGAATAAGATGCCTCTGAAAACTCTTAACCCCCCCAAAACTGACCTCATAGGCACTAAAGTTGAGAAATTAAACAAAAACAATGCTTAAAATGTTTAAAGAAATAATAGAAACAAAAAACTCATAAGATGTTTAGCAAGCTCAAAGAGGTTGTAAATAATAATCGCTAAAGCATTCAGTGAGTTTAAAGAACACACAGGAGCTGGAGCCGGGGATTTAGCTCAGTGGTTCGGTGGCCTGTCCCAAGTTCAATCCTGGTACCAAAAAAAAAAAAAAAAAAAAACACAAAAAGCTGTTTCAATTAAACAAGAAGAGACAACATATGAATAGCTATTTTAGTAATGAATTGGGGATCATTAAAAGATATCAAACAGAAATCCAGATGATAAAAACTCTATTGAAAATATCAACAGCAGAAAAAACCAATGTGAGGAGCGTGTGTCATAAAGACAAGGTTGATGTAGTGGATCATGTACTGAGGGACACTATAAAAACAACAAGATACCATGAAATCTGTATCTAATAGCTGCTTAATTAAAAAAATCCCTAACAAAACAAAGTAAGAATTCTAGGTGTTAAGAAAATATTAGAGGATGACACAAAAAGTATAAAAATTATTCACTGAAACTATGGCCAAATTTTTTCCAATTTTATAGAATCAATTCTATAAAAACCCAAATAGCCATGACAGAAACAAACAAAACTCTCCATGACATATAATCAAAATTCCAGAAATTCAGGGCTGGGGATTTAGCTCAAGTGCAAGGACCCGAGTTCGATTGCTGGTACCAAAACAACAACAACAACAACAACAGCAACAAAAACCAAAACAAAATTCCAGAAATTCAACAAAGTGGGAGAACACTAAAAGCTGTTTGAGAAAGACATCAAGCAACTTATAAAGGCAAGCCTATCTGAATAACAGCAGATTTCTAAACACAAACCTTAAAGGCCAGGACAGCCTTGAGCAAAGTCATTCAAGCCCTAAAAGAAAACAACTTTCAGCCCAGATTATTATGTCCCACAAAACAACCTTCAAAATTCACAGTGAAATAAAGAATTTCCATGACAGAGTATCTAAATAAATTCACTATACAAGCATTGCAGAAAGTACTCAAAGGAATCCTATACAAAGATAGTGAGGCCAACATCACCAAAAAGTCAAAACAAAAGAATACATCTAACTGGGTGAGTTGTTAAAGCAGGGAAAATAAAAGAACCAGCAATAGAAAAATAATGCAATGACAGGATCCAGTAAATACCCTTTAGTAATAATTCACAATTTAAATTGTCTTAATCTCCACCCAATCAAAAGATATAGATTGATAAACTGGATCATGAAATCCCTCTACCTATATTTTACAAAACACATGAAGACTGAAAGTGAAAGAATGGAAAACAATACAGCATGTATTAGGAACCCAAAACTCAGTAGAAGTAGCTATCCCATTTTCAGACAAAGAGGACTTTAAGCCAACACTGACCAGAAAAGACAAATTCATAGCACATTGGTAAAGGAAAGAATTCAACAGGAAGAGATAACACATTAATTTCATAAAACAAATACTAATGGACATTAAAGGTCAAGTAAATATCAATGCAATCAGAGTAAAGGACTTCAGTACCACATTCTCACCAATAGAGAGATCAATTAAACAAAAAATCAACAAAAAACATCATAGTTGAACCACACCACCAAACAAATGGACTTAATAGCTATTAACACAGTGTTCTATCCAACAACAGAATAGATATTTTTCACCAACAGCACACAGAATACTTTCCAAAATAGACCAGATATTAGGCCACAGAATGCCAAAACTTGTAAAAGGAACAGTAACCCCCCAAAATTGCACAAAATTGCACAAAACATATTACCAAGAATCAAGAAATGGGATCATATCAAATTAAGAAGCTTCCAAATAGCAATGAAAACAAGCAACAAAACAGTGAAGAGACAACCTATAGTCAGCAAAACAGTTTTGGTAGCTACTGATAAGAAGACTAATATCTAGAATACATAAAGAACTGAAAAAAATTAGATACCCCAAAATAAAAGACCCATCAAAAAATGAGCAATTGAAATAAGTAGATACTTTTGAAAATGAGTTAAAATGGCCAAAAAGAACAGAAAAATTGTTCAGCATCTTTGGCCATTATAAAAATGCAAATCAAAACAGCACTGAGATTCCATCTTATTCTAATAAGAATGGCTATTACCAGGGACAAAAAACAACAAATACTGGCAAAGTTGTGAAGGAAAAGGAAAGTTACATTGTTGGGAATGTAAATTGGTATAGCCATTATGGAAATCAGTATGGAGAGTCCTCAAAAAACTAGAAATAGAAATTCTGTACACTTGCGTCTTTTGAGTATTTTCCCCAGAGTTACAGTTATCATATTACAGTGATACATGAATATCCATGTTTATAGCCGCCAAACTCAATAGCTAAATCATGTAATCAGCTCAAATTCCTGCCACCAGATGAATGGTAAATGTCATAAATATACACAGTGGAGTATAGTCAGTCATAATGAGTCATTTTAAAGAAAATTGATGGAGCTTTTAATAAATCAGACACAAAAGATTTAATATCCCATGGTTTCTCTAATATTATATAAATAAGTAAAACAAAAAAGGGATGATAGAAAACAGGAAGGGGGAGACACTGGAGATGGGAAAGGGATCTCGTAAAAGAAGACTGGAGGACAGGAAAAATGGGAACTAAAAAAGACTCCAAGATTTTATATGTATGTGTACTAGTTACTCAAAAGGATGTAATTAAGTATTTTTAAAACACACTAATAAAACGTGTTATACTTGAGAGTATAAAGCTTTCATTGCCATGCCAGGATTGTGTGCTAACTTATTCTGAGTGTCAAAAGTCTTTGCTGTGTTGAGAGGAGGATCGTGGACTAACATTGTTAGTGTTCATTACATCAGTAGTGCAATCATAAAAAACTTACTCTTTATGTCTGACGTCATTTTTGTGATGATATTAGGATCAGGGACCGAGGTATTACTGGGATATCCTGCAGTTTTTGAAAATGCTGGGTAAGGAGGATCTTGGTCTTCATATTCTATATCCTCTTCAAGTAAAATGTTTCCAGTTTTGTATATATCTTGTCCTTTGCTACTTCTGGCTGATGTTTTGTTGTCTATAGTCCTTACAAAAGGATCAAAACTTGCCTTGTTTGTAAATTTTGGAATCTGCAATAATAAAAAGGAATTCGGTAGCATTTATTCTGAATTTATAATGAATTTTAATAAACTTTTTGGGTAACCTGCCAATTTACATATCCATACTCTTCTAACAACTTCAATTACTTTAAAATATTTGAAATTAAAACAAAGTTTTAAAGCAAAACAATTTTAAATTCTTAATTATAGAACCAATGTGTCTATGAGTTTTTTGCTACCTGAATTTTGGTGAAGAGGGTGGTTTACTCACTTTCTGTTTTGACACGAAGTCTCACTGTGATGCCCAGGCTGACCTCAAAATCCTGGGCTAATGTGATCTTCCTGCTTAAGCCTCCCAAGTAGTTGTGATTATAGGCACACACCACCATGCTTGGTTCTGAAATATTTTTAAATTCTTTAAAAGCCACCTTTAGTTTCTTTTACTGAGTGAGTTTCCAGGGTTAGCTTTGTTTACTTGGACAGCAAGTGGCTGACACTAAGATCTGTCTCTTAGCATATAAATATTTACCATTTCAGTAGTAATTTAGGCAAATCTTTAAAAATATAAGTAAGTAGTACATATCCCATGAACTGTATCACAAATATTCTTTCAAGACTGTCTGGGGTGCGCATAACATCAGGTTTTAGGTCTGAGAGTTTCAACAATGGTGAAGGCCTCTACCCAGTCCTTTATGTGTCACAGTAGACTCTTATTCTGGATGGATTCTGGATACGTTGTATGGGGAAGGCACTGTGCTAACTGCCTCTCGTGCCTGCCACAAACAGTGGAACTGAAACCAGCATGTCTCAGAGCTAACATGGGTTTGTACAACTGATGAGTAGACTGCAGTGATCACCGATAAAAGTATTTCAACATACTCACACATGTGTGTCCTGCCATTAAGTAGACATACATGTTTTATTATGTAATTATTAATCTTGGGCTTGTGTTATTTCATAAACAATAAGTTAAAATATAAAAAAGGAAGCTTTGTTGCTTATGTACATTAACTACATCAAGTGTTTTATATGCAGCCCAGGACAATTCCTCTGCACTCAATGTGGCCCTCGTGAGGGAAACTGCTGGACACTCACCTGTCATAGCTTTACAGTTTTAGGGTCGGAGGCACTTTAATGACCATCCAGTTCTAACCCTTATTTACACAGACTCTGAAGCTGCAGCTCTTGCCCTGGTTACCCCAATGATTAGTAAACTAAATTCTGAGTAGCCCGGGTCTTCCTTGATTGCTGCGTCTACTGCTCCCACTGAAGACAACAGTGAGAGCGTGTCACTGAGTGTGGCTTTGAAAGGCTCCTAACGCACGCCCACAATGCCAACTCAGCCAGGGAAGACGACCCCATCTCCTTATACACTCAGTACTTGAAACCACTGTCATATATATTGTCTCCTCTATATACTAAAATAATTAAATGAGTGACATTTTCTTATGAGATATTTTGGGATTAAAATTTCATTAAAATTAAACAGCTAACAACATGACCTGTCCTTATATCTTCAATGGCTTTCTACTCTGGCTGACATTTATCGCCCTTTCACAGTAACTAAACTACCTCTGCAATTCTCTCCATATTTTCCAATATATTTCCTCTCCTCTGACCAATAGTATCTAAGCATGAATTTTAAAAATACATCTTGCATTTTTAAACCTGTTATTTTGATTATTTGCTTTTTATTTTGTTCTGTTTTGCTCGACTTTTCCCAAATCCCCTTTAAAACAGTTTACCTTCTAACATTTGAAAGATCACTCTGAAAGAATTGAACAGAAAAAATTAAAAGTAAATGAAATAAAAAATAAATGAAACATGTATGTATCAGCAGGCTTCTCATTGCTGGGACAAAACATCTGACATATACCATTTAAAGGAGAAGTTCAGGGGCTGTGGATTTAGCTCAGCGGTTCAGTGGCCTTCCTTGCAAGCACAAGGACCCGAGTTCAATCCCTGGTACCAAAACAAAACAAAACAAAAAAAAAAAGAGAGAAATTTGTTTGTCTCATGGTTTCAGAGGTTTCAGTCTATGGCTGGCTGGCTCAAGGGAAAAACAGGATAGAAGGAAAAGGCAGAGGAAAGCTGCCCATCTCTTAACAACCAGAAAGCAGTTAATCAGGGAGAACCCCAGAAAGAGGCAAAGCTCAGATAGTCACCCAGTGATGCCTCCTTGTGTCACCCCAATGTGTGATTTACTAATCTAGACATCTCTCAAGCCAAGAATGTTGACCTTCAAGATTAACCATCACAATATATAATTAGGATGTAGAAGAACGAGTAGTAGAAATATAGGATTTCATTTCTGGAAAAAACAAAGCAAAACAACAGTCTCTCCTAATTTAACAATGGAATAATTGTGGGTGGATTTGAAAATACTAACATTAATTTCTCAAAATGAAGAAAGTAATTCTTGAGGAGAAAAGGGAGGGGCCTGTTAGCTTTTTCTTTGTTTAATTTGTATTATTGATTAATAATATATTGAGTAATACTTTTGTGAACATAGAATTTGGTGAAGTTACTGAGGGATAGATGAGATGCTGGAGGCCTTCATTATAGGAATCTAGAAAAAGAAAGCAAAATGAATAGAACAGGATTGCAAGGATGGTGGCCTGAATTTATGCTTCTACTTTTCTCTTTCTTAAGGTTCCAGAACATTGACAGAAAACATTGCTGCAGAAGAGAAGAGCAAACAGCAATACTGGAAATCAATTGTGTGAGACACATATAACCAGAAAATTTGAAAAACTTAAGAAAATATTAAAGTGACTTAATGGAAAATCTCATTCAGGAAAGCCATATCTTCAAATGTCAGAAATCAGGTGGGCCTGAGAAACAATAGATTCAAAGTTAAATATACAGAGAGTCAGCTCATGAGTTGATTTTTATAGTTATTAATGAAAGAGCTGCATTTGGAAGAACTGGTTCACTTGGATCTTTTTTCATTTCTGTTCACCTTAGGCAGAAGTGTCACTCACCCCCAAATCAATAAATTGTTCTCAATTAAAAAATGTACCATCTGCCTAGATGAAATCTTGTAAGATTTGAGCCTTGACAGAGAAGCAGGGTAGAGTTTTCTGAAACTCACAGTTTCATGTCAAATAACTAGAGGGGGATACAAAAGAAAGTTACGCCCATGAGAGAAACACACTGGCTCTGGAAAATTTAAGTTCTCAAGTCATCCTGCCTAGCCTTTTCCATTCTTACCTAAACAGCGTATACCTATTCCATCAACATGTTTTTTTACCCACAAATAGAAGATGAACAAAGGTTACCAGCTATATGAAGAAAATAAGTGTATGTGAATAATTTATAAGAAAAAAATGGAAGACCAGAGTAAACAGAGATATTTCTGAGATGGTAGAGGTGACCCTTGGAAAAGATTTGAAATAGTATCTTCAGAGATATTCTGGAGGATGTTGATATTGATTTCCACTTAATTCTCTTCTCTTTTCTCTTCCTTTCCCTCCTCATCTCTCCTTCCTGCTCTCTTTTCTCTGTCCGCTCTACCCCCTCTATTCCCTTCACTCACCTCTCCTCTTCTCTCCTCTCTTTTGGTGCCAGGGATTAAAGACCTTGTACATGCTAAGCACATCCTCTGTCAATGAACTACACACCCAGCTTCAACATCTAGAATTTACCATCTATGAAACAAGCATAATTCTGCATTACCAAACCCCACAAACAAACAAACAAATCCTTGACTTTTCTGTTTTTTCTCCTTTCAGTCAATGGTGCTACTAAATTGTTAGGGCAGAAATAGAAAGGTCACCCTTTTTTTCCTCTTCTCCTTTGCTTTTTCATATCCAATCCAGAATTAAGCCCTGTGGCTACTGCCCTCAAGATATGCTGAGCATGCAGTCACTTTTAATTACCAGTCCCGCTATCACTATACACAAACTATCATCTCGCCTGAAGAGTAGGCTTTTAAAGTCAATTTCTCCCTGTAACAAATGTTCCTAGTTGCCTTCCCAGAATATATTCTCTTAGGAAACCCAAGTTTTTATGTGGCATAAATGTCTCCAGCTAAAAGAAATACAGCTTCAGGCCTCTTCTACAGACAGGAGTGGCCATGTGTCAAAACTCTGATCAATTAGAAATAATTGGAAATTTTTGGTAGAGGCAGACAAAAACAAAATGAAACAAATATGAAATAAAAAAGAAGCAGAGGCAGTCTTAGCAGACAGAACTACA